TACACAGGGGGGGCACACAGGCCACCGGAAACCCCCGCTGACCCATCTACCTCCCACACCTTGTGCGCACACAGCCCACCGGATCCCCCCCACCCATGCTGACCCATATCTGCTTCCCACACCCTGTGTGCACCAGGTGAGCTTGGGGGGAAGGAAGATGCGGCTCGGGCACAGTGGGCAGCAGAAGAGCCAACACAGGTCCCCCAGAGAGAAGCCATTCATTCTCGGATCCTGCTCGGTCATTAGGGGAAGGGACAGAGGTTGCCCAAGGAGAGGAGTCCAGCTACCCCCCATTATGTCACTCACACTGTGCCTGATTGCCGGACATCAGACTCCCCCGGCCTACTGCCTGCTTCTGAGAAATCCATGAAGACCAGCCTGACCAACCAAGGGGAGAAGGATCTGCTGCCTGGCACCTGGAGCTGCATGTCCTGGGCGTCAGGCAATAAGAGTTGCCAGCGGTGAGGGGGCTGAGAGCTCAGGCGCAGGGACGCAATTTCTGTTCACCATTACAACGTGGTGCCTGGGATTCAAGCCCTGGTTTATGTTTACTTTTTGTTCAGCTGTTTGTTCTACAGTAAAATCGCATAGCAGAGTAGTCACCCTGTAGACAGGGTAGTCTTACTGTAGATGGCCATGTAGGTGGATGGACATGTTTTTCTTTTAGAAAAATGCTAAAACCAATATTAATAAACACTGAGTTTTGTACACACCCCAGCAGTATTATATGGTTTGTCCCAACCCATGTAATTGTCACTTCTGGAAGTAAAAAAAATATTGAATCTATGGCCAGGATGAACAGTACTAAAACTATGTTGCCAGGTGAATTCAAAAATAAACACTGTTCTACCGTATGAATGATATTGGCTACATAATTTGTCATTTTTTTATTTTGCCCATAATTCCACTTTAAAAAAGAACATTACACAGCAGTTGCAAAGAAACCATTATGAATAAAGAGGGCCTTCACCTTCTTTTTCAAATTTCCTAGCTCTTAGTTCTTACTCAAAAATACATTTTTTTATCATTTTTAATGCCTTTTAGAAGTGGCCTGCCCTCCACTTCTGTATTTCTCACCTAGGCAAGAATTACACAGCTCCCAGCTACCCACAGCTTCCTGGGATATTTATGTTGCGCATCTCAGAAGGCTTTAAGGCTACGTTCACACTAGCTTTGTCAGCAGGCATCAGACAGGAGTTTGGGAAGCGTTTTTAACGCTTCTCAAACGCCTATAAAAATTCTGCACATGACAGCACACAGTGCTGTTCACACTGGCATCTCATGTCGAGTCAGGAGGATGGTGCCGCTCCTCAAACACCTGTCAGACGTTTGCGGTGCGTTTTGCGGAGCATTAATACCATTTAACTTCATTATAGGCTTTGTGGTGCAGTTCTAACGCTTGGCAAACGCCTATCAAATGCCTCAAAACCGCGCATAGCATAGGGCATTTGGGAAGCATTTGAGGAGTGTTAAAGACGCTTTCCAAACGCCTGTCAAACGCTATAGGGTTGTTTGGCAAGAGAAATACAGTCAGGTGTGAACGAGCCCTAAGACAGGCTCCACCTAGCTAGAGCTCACATGCATACACAGCAGCGTGTCATCAGAACTGGTCATCAATCACAGGAGGCCGATCTACATCATGTCATCAGAGGGCTGCTTCAAGTCCCCCTGGAAGTTTTCAAAAACATTGCAGCTCTGGCTACAATATTCACCTAATTTCCACCTCTATCCACTGCAGAAGTACCTCTTCTCTACTATAAGATATCTTCAGTCATCTGGGTAGTATTACACCTTCATAAGGATGTCCTGCACTCACAGGGTATTGATGCAGAGAATGGTGTTGACATCATAATTAAAGGATAACTCTATTTTTGTGGGGAAAAAAAATAGCAAATGAAAAAACAATATAGCGTATACACACATCATATTATAACTGAATGATTTAAAATGACCAAAAATGTAATTTTCTTTTCAATCTGCAGCACTGTAATTTTCTGTAAAATGCAATATGGCAACCTGGAGGAGTCACAGATGGTGTACAGAACATTCCCCAATAATGTCATTTCCTGATCGTGTGATGGGCTCACTGATTTTTTCAGAAGTCTGCACTAAGATACAAGTCAGATTTTGGGCATCCTCTGCAACAAAAATTAAATTTTTGGTGAGATACTCCCAAATGGAAATCACATCTAAAAGGGATGCAGACCCTGATAATTTCCTCAGAGTTCTGCAAGTGCAGCAGCTGATTGATAGTTATAAAATCACTCCCATGTGGGTTCACTCTGCACATGGACACAGACAAACAAACAGCTTTTTTTTATCAGAACAACAAAAAGGTAGGAATCTGCAATAACGTTTGTTAAAATCCCTGCAATGGACAAACTGTAGATCACCCAGAGGGGAATTTTTTTTTTCTCAACAAAAGTGGAGTTACACTTTCAGACATGAAGGTAACTGGAGAAGGTAGAAGGTACAAGGGAACTGCAGAGTTTCACTTTAACCTGCAATACATAAATAATATACATTTAATCCAGAGGATGTGGGCTTGAATATTTACTTGCAGGGCTTTTAAAATATACTTATAGAAGGCCTCCAGGAGTGTAAATTTAGTTTTGGGAAGAAATTAATGAGAGAGGAAAACAAGTCAACTCATAGCTATCCTGCCAATCCCAGTTTCATTTATTTTAATATATAATTTGAAAACAAGTGCAGGGGGCATGGATGTTATCTAGGATCCCGCTATTAAAAAATCATACTGTCTAAAATGTATAGAACTGCTGTCATTTCAAACATTATCCTACTTTTGCCTATAATTTTCAAGGGCAGTACATTTTTATTATGAGGACTGGTGCATTGTACATAAGCCTCTGGTACCCAATCCTAGGGGTGTTCCCCTCTCCACTCAACTGTGTATGGACTGGCATGGATCTTGCTAGCCAGCCTCCAAAATGGGGATACCAGCCCACATATTTTTTTACAGCTTTATTTTGCTTAATCATCCAGTGAAAAAGCTTTGAGAAACTCCAAATGTTAATGACTTTCCTCTTCTAAGAAGCCACTGATAATATTACATATAACATTGCTCGGTATGTTACTTTTGCTTGTAGTATCAAGTATCAAAGCTTATGACTCAGGTCCATTGATGGAAAGATCAGACAGCATTAGGTTCCTCTAACAATCTTCAACTCTTAACTCTTTGGTTTCTACACAGTCTGTGCTGGCTTTACTGACGTCACTGGGAAGTCTTGACAACATCACTGAAAACAGTGTTTAGAGACGTAGAAATTCTTGAAGAATCTGAAACTTCACAAAACAACTGCAGTTGTAGGTACAAGCTACTCATAGGTTGTGCCTAGCACTTTCCACCAAAACAAAATGAAACTTTTTTGGTGAAAATCATCTTTAACTTCCCCTCTTCCCTCCACACATTCTGCACATTCACATAGGGAATAGTATAATAAATATAAGGCTGAAAACTTCCTGAAGTGGAAATCATTTAGAAAATGCATCATTCATTTAATCAAATATCATGCTATGATCCACCAAATTTCAAAATGTATGCAATATCAAAGGTCATGGTATGGTTTTTATTATGAAAGAGTCCCTTTAAATATTGTGGTAAACATTTAGTGTCCTCATAAATAATCTCCTAGCAAAATTATTTTGATTAATTCAGTTCTGTTAGCAAAGATTTAATTAATTATTTACTTTCCTATTAGATTCTGCATCATAAGTGGAAGAATGAACACACGCTTCGGTTGCATAAGTAGTATAAAAAGTGCATCTTCATACCTCTTCTGTGCAAAAATACATTTACAATATAAAAATCAAAAAACCTACAAAATAATGGTTATATCAGTAAAATAGTGTTTGAGAACTGGGGCGTTAACTGTGCTTTTGGTTAGTATTAAGCTTACTGCATACATTTCGGATGTACTGATAAACTAGCAGCATGATTAAAACATCGGCAAAATTATGTATCCCATAGCAAATATCATGTCTCATTTGAAATGTGATTGGTTGCTATGGACTACTGCACATTGCACTGCTATATTAAAAAGTACATTTGTATGTCTTCAAACATGCCTAACCATGACAGAAGAGTTTTCATTGTGTCACAGAGTCGTTCTCTCAGTTTATGTACTGATTAACTCTTACAGTTCTATATTCTAAGATAATACAGTGCAGATTGTCACTATTCAACTAGGTTGCTGGTCAAGTAGTTTCATGGGGTTTAATGAAGAGGGTGAGGTTAGTGGGTTTTTTTGTTTTTTTTTGTCCCCATTCTGTAAATTTAAACTGGAACTAAACCCACCAATTTAATGGTTTTAAAGCACAGTTACATTCACGGTATGTACCGGGAATGTTACTGTCATATTTGCTTGTGCTCTCAACCCAACTGTCAAACCATCAAATGGCTGGTGTCATAACTGATCACATGTGCATTATCATGACAGTTGCAGATCAAACAGAGGCCAACATGGCAGCTTCCTTGGCTGAAAAAGATAGGAGGGTTTAGTTATACTTTAAAGAAACACACCAAGCATGTCTAGATACTCTTGGTTCCTGGCTTTCTCTTAATCTGATAACTGATGGAGATATAAAAAAGCGGTATTGGGCAACAGGAACCAGAAGAGCATGGCAAACAAATGTAAAACCATTGTCAGGTTTGACTACTATTTGCGTTCCCATTGTGAGGATTTGCAATCAGTTCCTGCTTTGTCAGTTTGAAAGGAAGCAATAAGAAATCTTAGCAGTGGCCGCAAGAATAACCTTACAAAACTTCTAATCCTTCTCCAATGATTTCTGGAACCAAAGAAAAATAGTTGGAGTTGCACAAGAACAACTTTGTGGTAGATTTTTATCCAGCAACCTATCCCTTGTGTAAAATTAGAGGAAACACATAAATAATGATTTCAATTGTCAAAGAAATGTCCTATTTGCATTTGTCCCAAAGGTGGTTTCCTGACTTCATAGCAGCATTTGGCTTGTCCTCATTCTTAGACTGGAACTCTTGAGGTACCATTGGGAGTAATTCTGCTTTTTCTTATTTGACTCAAGTGTTTGCGAGATCTTAACACTTTCACTCTCACCTCAAAGACTTCTTGAATAGCTTTACGAAAGCAATGGAAATTGTAATCTATTAAACCTGTACAAAGAAATAAAATTGTAAGTATTTGAAGAATTAAATTACAGTGTTGCAGATTCTAAAGGCTATATCAAGCAGTAGGCCTCAATGTAGCACCAGTTTAGCTACATAACTGGTTCTGTGGTCCTTTTTCTACACATAATTATGTTTTATATATTTGTGCCTTCCTGGGATCCAAATCAAGGGCATGCACCTTTCCAGGGCCTTCTTAATGCACAGACCAACATGCGCACTGCCTTTCCTCTAACTGCCCCCCCAAGCACAGGGGCTGAGGAAGAACCCCCGAGGCAGAGCATTTTACTACTGCTTCTAAACACCAAAAATCACAGCACTAATAATTTACAGCCAAAGAGGTCATGTGAGCAACTGTATTGGTCAACCCTCACTTTTCCAGGTTCTATGGCTACCAGCAGCTACCAGTGGCCTTGACACTTCACAGCGTACTGTGGGTAGTAAATACTCCAAGTCTAGTGAATGGAGTAAAGCGGATCTGGTGTGGTCGGTGACTTGGGATGATGGGCTCTGCAGCACAGTCTAAAGGACTGGTGAGTGTTGAGTGGTGCTAAGGGACCAGGAGACTTGATCTGACCAACTGCAGGATGGCTCTTAAATACATGGGACTGTGTAACCATAGACGCCTGAAGGATGCTGGCTCCAGAGACCAGTCAAAAGGCTTTCTGGGATCTCTGATTCCTCTACTGTTGCAAGTTGGTGACAAGGCATGCTGGGATCTCAGGATTCTGATCCCCCTGTCCCCCCTGTACTGTGCCCTCCTGCCTCCCCCCCCCCCCCCCCATAATGTGCACTTCTGTATCCCATACTATTTACAGACATATATTGTATATACAGGCCACTGATAAATTGGGAAATGCATTTATGACAGGGGGGTAGTGTGTAAAGGGAGGGGGATAGTGTAAAAAAGGAGTGGGAGCAGTGTGTACAAGGGAAAAGAGGGTCAGTGTATAAAGGGGGTTAGTGTATACAGGGGCTGTGTGTGAAGGAAAGTGTGTACAGGGGGAGAATTTAATATGTTTATTTGTTGTTTCTAATAAAACTAAAAAGCCATGCGCAATATGTAGTGTAATTTAGCCACACCCACCTTTGGCTGTGGTGCGCGTAGCGCAGTTCAGGTCACCACCTCCCTGGTAGGGGCATTACTTTGTCCTGGGGCCCATGGTGCTATTAAGGTGGCACTGCCAATTTCTATAATTACCTCCTACTACCCCTCCCAAGAGCCTTTTTTTGGCTACTGTTTACATTCTTAAGCAGTCCATAGATGACTCCATTTTCTTTCCTTCCACCACAGATTGAAGGAAAAAAAAACGCTTGGTTCCCCTATCAACACAGTCAGTGTTTTTAATTTCTAAGTACTGTATTTTCCGGCGTATAAGACGACTGGGCGTATAAGACGACCCCCTACTTTTCCTGCTAAAATGTAGTGTTTGGGCTATACTCGCCGTATAAGACTACACCTCTAGCAATGCACACCAGTGGGAGGAATAGTGCCCCATCATTGGTATCAGTGGGAGGAATAGTGCCCCATCATTGGTATCAGTGGGAGGAATAGTGCCCCATCATTGGTATCAGTGGGAGGAATAGTGCCCCATCATTGGTATCAGTGGGAGGAATACATCATTGGTATCAGTGGGAGGAATAGTGCCCCATCATTGGTATTAGTGGGAGGAATAGTGCCCCATCATTGGTGTCAGAGCGACGAATCGTGCCCCATCATTGGTGTCAGTGCGACGAATCGTGCCCCATCATTGGTGTCAGTGAGAGGAATAGCACCCCATCATTGGTGTCGGTGGGAAGAATAGTGCCTCATCATTGGTATTAGTGGAAGGAATAGTGCCCCATCATTGGTGTCAGTGGGAGGAATAGTGCCTCATCATTGGTATTAGTGGAAGGAATAGTGCCCCATCATTGGTGTCAGAGCGACGAATCGTGCCCCATCATTGGTGTCAGTGGGAGGAATAGCACCCCATCATTGGTGTCAGTGGGAGGAATAGCACTCCATCACTGGTGTCAGTGAGAGGAATCGTGCCCCATCATTGGTATCAGTGGCAGGAATAGTACCCCATCATTGGTGTCAGTGGGAGGAATAGCACCCCATCATTGGTGTCAGTGGGAGGAATAGCACTCCATCACTGGTGTCAGTGAGAGGAATCGTGCCCCATCATTGGTATCAGTGGCAGGAATAGTACCCCATCATTAGTGTCAGTGAGAGGAATAGTGCCCCATCATTAGTATCAGTGGAAGGAATAGTGCCCCATCTTTGGTGTCAGTGGGGGGAATCGTGCCCCATCATTGGTATCAGTGGCAGGAATAGTGCCCCATCATTGGTGTCAGTGGGAGGAATAGTGCCCCATCATTAGTATCAGTGGGGGGAATAGTGCCCCATCATTGGTGTCAGTGGGAGGAATAGTGTCCCAACATTGGTGTCAGTGGGAGGAATAGTGTCCCAACATTGGTGTCAGTGCGGGGTGGAATAGTGCCTCATCATTGGTGTCAGTGGGGGGGGGGGGGAGGAATAGTGCCCCATCGTTGGTGTCAGTGGGAGGAATAGTGCTCCATCATTGGTATCAGTGACACCAATGATGGGGCACTATTCCTCCCACTGACACCAATTACACTTGCTGACCTCCGTTCTAGTATGGTGCTACTGCAGCCAGCATATGTGGTTGCAGCAGCACCTCTACACGGAACACTTACCGGCCGCTCCTGCACTCGATTTTCGCGGGGCCGCTCGGCTCCGCCCCCTCGTCGGTGATTGGCCACCTGTGTGCCTTTCCTGAGCTACAGTTCTGGCGGCCAATCACAGATGAGGAGGCAGAGCCGAGCAGCTGCGCGAACATCCAGTGGCCGAACTGAAGGAGCAGCCGCGCTTCCTGGACCGGATCGTCGTGGGGACCGGAGCCAGGTAAGAAACAGCAGCCCCTGCCCACCCCTGTACTTAGTGTCCCTTCCATTGGAAGGGGGGGGCGGTGCCGCCGCCGCCGCCCCCCCCTAAAAAGTGTCAGTATGCCGTATACCGGCGTATAAGACGACCCCTGACTTTTGAGAGGATTTTCAAGGTGTAAAAAGTTGTCTTATACGCCGGAAAATACGGTACTTTATATTTTCATATGTATATGGAATGTCAGGGAGCGCTATGGGTGTGTAGAAAGGTATAAACTGCTGGCACTAAAGGACCGCCCCTGGTGTCCTCACTAGTGAATGAAATATAAAAGGTGCAGCGCTAAAGTAATGAATTAATCAAATATACTTCTAAAACGTGCATATATATATAAATAAATAATAAGGTGAATATAAGCAGCAATAGAACGAATAGCAGCAATGTTAAAAGGCAGACACAGTGAGGCGCTACCAGTCTAAAGTGCGAGAGTTCATAAGTTATTAATATAGGAATAACCAATATTCTGATAACTGTGGTGATGGTATTCGTGACACTAAGTGGTCAGCGTTGGGTGGTATAAAATGAATAGTGACTGATAGTGAACATATATCAAATGACACAATTGCGACAAACAACAGTTATAAAAAAGTCCAGAAAAGAAATCCATGAACAAGTGACATCCAGTGCTGGTGAATCCGTGAAAAGTATTCCTTTATATGCACTCACCAGAAGCACATATAAAATGTGCATGGGTGAACAGCGAACAGATGACATCCAGTGCTGTTTTCGTACGCACAAAACGCATTAGGGAAGGAGCCTGCGCATTGACGTCACGCCATCAGGGCCGCACGAAGGTCTGGCGGCCATCTTAGTGAGTTGTTTTATACTGTTTGTACTCTCCACGTGGATACTCTGTACCTTTTAATAAAGTACTACACTATTAGCCGAGTTTCTCTGGCTTTTTTGTGAGCTAACTCCTCAGGACTTCTCGTTGCGGTTTGCATGCTGCTTGGTGTCATCATTCCTATTGTGGGAACTCGCTTCAAATGGTAGAGCTCTTCTTGTTAAAGCACACAGCAACTCGCTTCTTTTTAAGGGCCTTTTTGCCCAATTTTATTTAAAGGAAAAGTTCCATAAACAAAAATGCTTCCCACGCAGGGGTATCCAACATCAAACCACTTCAAACAATATTCAGCCTCCTGGCTTGTATGCAGTTTTAACTCTGCCTCCTGCAGACTCTTCCCAAAATATGGCACTAGCACACAGCTAGTCTGGCTTTCACCTCTCCTTGGTGAAAGCCCACCTGACTCCAAGGTAGATACCTCCTGTCTGCCTGGGTGGAGCCCAGAACTATGGTTAGGACTCTATAAAAAGGCCTGCACACACCTGTGCAATCAGTGTGCTGGGGGTTCTCAAAACACGGACCCCGGATTGGAGATTTCATCCCTCCCAGATCTCTTTGAAATCTCCAGGCTCCAGATCCCAAAACAAACTTCATGAATAAATGAGGAAACCGAAAAGTCAGATTCCTCTGCAATACATCAACTCTCTGGAGCCCCTCAACCTGCCTGGTTGAGAATCCAGGGTTTTCAGCTTTATTTTGACCGTGGCAGGACACAGCACTGCCACACTATCTAAGATCATCCTGGCCTTCATGGTCCTATGACTGATGGGTTTGCTGCTTGACTTACCTGAGGAAGAAACCAGCTGTTCATGCGCATTTTATATGTGCTTCTGGTGAGTGCATATAAAAAGAATACTTTTCACAGATTCACCAGCACTGGATGTCGCCTGTTCACGGATTTATTTTCTGGACTTTTTTATAACTGTTGTTTGTCGCAATAGTGTCATTTGCTATATGTTCACTATCAGTCACTATTCTATTTTATATCACCTAACGCTGACCACTCAGTGTCATGGATACCATCACCACAGTTATCAGTATATTATTAGTTATTGCTATATTAATAAATCATGAACTCTCGCACTTTAGACTGGTGGCGCTGATCGGAGCGCCTCACTGTGTCTGCCTTTTAATATTGCTGCTATTCGTTTTATTGCCGCTTATATTCACCTTATTATTTATTTATCTATATATGCACAT